AACATGTTGAAGAGATAATGGGTATATTTTTGGAAGGAGAGTAATGAGAGAATAAGCGTTTAGTTGGTGAGAATTTAGTTGATGATAAAAGAATGGATATTTATAGAAAATATACTCTCTCTCTCTCTCTCTCTCTCTCTCTCTCTCTCTCTCTCTCTCTCTCTCTCTCTCTCTCTCTCTCTCTCTCTCTCTCTCTCCTCTCTCTCTCTCTCTCTCTCTCACGCTCACGCACTTTCACACATACACGCTCACGGACACGCCAACGCACACGCACGCACGCACCTCCCCTCTCTAACACACACACACACACACACACACACACACACACACCACACACACACACACACACACACACACACACACACACACACACACACACACACACACACACGCTATTTCCCAAAATTTATTTAATTAACTATTCCCCTCAAAATCGATAAACTAATAAATAAAATTTATTTCATTCAAAAATGGGACTCATTGAACTGAAATTAATCTTTATATTCCACAATATCATCGTTCTCGTCTTAATACTTTCAAATAATGTGTATTTACATGAAATAATAAAAGGAATTCAAGTCAGGACGAAATATTACGAGAACTACCATTTATTTTTCTCTTCGACTAATACCCAGTCTTATGAAAAGGAATATGATTACTAGTCTCAAATAATATAAATTACATGATACGTCTATCAAATGGTACTTCGGAAAACTATGATTTATTTCAACTCCAGACACGCGAATAACACAAAATAACAGGTTTTGAACTGACAAAATAACAGGTACTAACTTATTATTATTTGAGAAGAAGATAAATCGAAGAAAAGAATGATAAACAGTAGAATAAATCAATATATATATTATTTTATGACTAATTCATCATCCTTCTGTTTAAAGTGGCACTTTATTTCAACTCAAACACGCGAATAGAGCAAAATAACAAGTTCTAAACTCACAAAATAACAGGTTCTGAACTGACAAAATAATTGGTACTAACTTATTATTCTTCGAATATAAAAGAAAAATCGGAAAAAAAAGTGATAAACGATAGAATAAAACATGTATATCATTTTATGACCAACTCCTCTTCCTTCTGCTTAAAATGGCACTTGATTTCAACTCCAAACACGCGAATAAAACAAAATAACGTCTTAAACTAAAAAAGAAAAACGAAAAAAACGAACTAATTATTATTTGAGAATAAAAGAAATCGAAAAAAAAAACTGATAAACGACAGAATAAAACCTTATATCCATTATTTTATGCCTAGCTCCTCTTCCTTCAGCTTAAAATGGCACTCGACTGAGGACTCTATACTCCTTCGCAGGTCATGAGCAGCAAGGAATTCGTGACGTTGAAGGACTGGATGAAATGCGAGGCCGCCCTCTGCCCCGTCGAAATCCAGCACGAGGGACGCCTGGAGGACACCCACCCTCCCGCCCTCCTGTCCTGCTTCACCTCGCCTGACGTGGCTCAGCCTGCGCTCTCCTCCGCGAAGTCGCAGGTCAGTGGGGTCGAGGAGGAGGGGAAGCGGTTGGGGCTCTGGTTCTTGGGGATGCGTTGGGTCGTCGTGGTTTTTTCCCCTATTTTGGGTTGGGTAAACAATAAAATTGTTAAAATAAAAGAGCAAAAGGAGAAGGTAGTTGATTATTTATTTATTATTATTTTTTTTTAATGAATGGGTTGGGTTCTTGTGTTTGGTAATAAAAGTAAATTGTAAAAAAGATTATCTTGATAAAAAGAGCACAAAAGTAAAAAGTAGTTGAGTTTTTTTGCCATGTTTGTGTTGGGTTCTTGATGAAGAGAATGAAAATAAATTGTCAGAAAATATCTTAATGGAAAAGAGTAAAAGGAAAAGGTATATATTGTTCTGGATTGGGGTTTTGAGAAGGATAATAAAATTGTATTAAAAAATCTTGGTAAAGGAAAATAGTAAAAAAAATATATATTATTTGCACTGGGCCATGGAGAAGGAGAATAAAGTAAAAAAAAATCCCAATAAACGAGAACAAAGCAAATTGTTTTAAACGGTAGAGCCAAACATTCTATATATTATCTTATGACTGACTCCTCTTTCTTCTGCTTCAGCAAGTCTGTGCAATGCTTAGTTACCCGGAAATGCTAGTGTCTTCGGTTTTCGTTGAGAGGCTCGAGGACAACGAGGCTCTGCAGGTCATGGGTGCCTTGAAGACCGCCACCGTCTCCAACTTGAAGACTCGACCCCACGTCACCTTCAGAAATGTATGTCGACCTCGTCACAATCGGGCTCGTCACTGTTGACCTCGTCACTATCAGCCTTGTCATTGTTGACCTTATCACTGTCGATTTCGTCACTATCGACCTCGTCACTATTTTAACTCGTTCTGTCACTGAAGGGGTTGATAGCACAAGCTTTTGTCATGAAATAGTGTCTGCGATTGGTACTTGCGGTGATGGGTTGATGAGGTGAAGATTTGAAAACGACTATGCAGTAGGGGTGATGCTAGGTTTCAGAGGTAAAGTCATCTCGATTTGTTTTTTAGCTTCTTTCTTAACTTGTTTGTTGTTGGTCTATTTTCCTTGAATCAGTCGCCATCTGCACCAATACGAATATTTTGGGGTTATTTTTCGCTTCTTTATGTACATGGTCTTGGTCTAGTATGCATCTCATCCACCCATCACCATAAGTATCAATCATAGACACATTTCATGACAAAAGCCTGAGCTATCAACCCTTTCAGTAATAAGGGATCCGATGGCCTTTATAAAGCGATCGAGGAGAGAAAGTGTGGGAAGATAGAGGATTCGATAATCTTGAACTATAGATGAATGGCGCTTTTGTATAACTGTTGTGCTTATTCCTTTTCATTGGTCTTATCCAGTTACTAACCCTTCTAAGGTTAATTTAAGGCAGGAACCTTCACGACCTCATATTCATCTCACCTTCCGTGACACTTCTGAATCCCATACTTCATCACGGACTCGAATTAAAGTCCTTAATTGAATCCTTTCTTAGTATGTATATGGGGTTTCGTGTCTCATCCTTGGCCAGATGAATTCTCACTCATAGATGCAACTATGTGGATATAAAGTTTAGATCAGGAATTTCATAAGCACGTGTATCTTCTTAAATTACAATTATGTGCGAGGTTATAAAATATCAAAGGATTTTTTCATTATAAGGAGAACAGTTTCACCTACCTTATCCTTCCTTAAGTATAACTTTTTATGTATATATTTACAAAATAGCTTGCTTTTGTGACATATTTCTCTCTATATATACAAGTAGGCCTTCTTATCAGAGTTAGACCTAGACCTTAAAGAAGAACAGATAACTTTTTTTTACATAGCAAGCAATCTTTCCCCCGTGGAGCGTTGATCCTAATGTCTCGCCATTGACGTCTTAGAACACGACCCCACCTGACCTGATCCACGCCCTTATGGATGCAGATGACTACCGCCAGTCAGAGGTCCTGCAGTACGAGGAGATAAATGTTCTCAGGGAGTTAAACAAGGCGGTGCTGGCCTTCGCTCAGCCTATTCCCGAGGTTCCGACGAGCTCCTTCTCGGATATTATTTCTGTGTCGAGGCAGATCTCGGAGTGCAGCGCCTCTCCGCCGAGGAAGTGAGTACCTGTTGTTTTGTTAGTTTAGAACCTGTTATTTTTGTTATTTAGGTATGTTATTTTGTTAGTTTAGAACCTGTTATTTTGTTAGTTCAGAACCTGTTATTTTTGTTATTTTGGTAACTGTTACTTTGTTAGTTTATAACCTGTTATTTTTGTTAGTTCAGAACCTGTTATTTTGTCATTTTAGTATTTGTAATCGAATTGCCTGAGGCATCCGAACTGTTGTAAATATTACGGCAAGTTACAAGTTAACATGCAGCTGTTTTACGTATAGTATATTATATTTTACGTAAATTCTAGACTAAGTTATGAAAATCCGTCATTAGAGATTCCTTAAAAGCTGTTTCCTAATCGCAGAACTGTATCCAGAATAACCAATTTGTCTTTCTAAACAGCTACCAAACTCCTATATCTTCCGGGTCGTCTTTGGACCAGCATAAAGAAGACACGAGTTTGGAAGGAAATAAAAAGAAACAGAGAGAAACAGATAAAGGTCCTCCTCGTGAAAGCCAGAGACAAGGAACAGCAGTGTCTAAAGAATACGAAAGATCGAAACCCTTGAAAATCGGGAAGGTGAAAAAGCGAGTGGAGATAGTCGAGGACAACCGGGCTGTGAAAGCGAATACCTGTGATATCCCTGACAGTGATATAGTCAGACCACCCAAGCCTAACGTAGACCATAAGCTGAAATCCCTCCTGACCAAAGAGAGACTCAAAAAGGAGAAAGAGCAGGTGCGAAACGCGGTCCCAGGAGGAGAAGCTAAAGGAAACGTGAGCGAGCAGGACTTCACGGGTAGTCCTCCGTCAGCGGGCTTCGTGACGGCTCCGACGACGCTGAAGAGACGCCCCAGAAGAAAGAAGGATGTCGGTTCCAAGGGCTGTGACGACGCGATGCCCCAGATGACCGTCCAGGCAGAGAGGGTGACCTTTGCGGGGGCGCAGTGTCGCAAGCCGCCCACGGAGGAGCTGCCAAATAACTGGGAGGAATCAGACGAAGAGGAAGAAGAAACTACGAGATTGCTGAACAGGGTGATGCGCGCCATTCAGCGGTTGGAGCAGGAACGCCCGGATTTGGTCGAGGAAGTGAAGCAGGATGCGCAGCAGAGCTTGAGTTCTAAGTCGCTTCCTAAGTCATTGGTTAGTCTCTTGAGTTCTAAGTCACTTGGTAATTAATTCTAGGTTCTAAGGCAGTTCTTAGGTCAGTGGTTAGTCAGTCTTTAAGTTCTGTCACTTGGTTGGTAATATAAGTTCTGTCACTTGGTAATATAAGTTCTAAGTCACTTGGTTGGTAATATAAGTTCTGTCACTTGGTTAGTCTTTTTTCTAAGTCACGGTTGGTAATTCTAAGTTCCAAGTCGCTCTCTAGGTCAATGGTTAGTCGACCTTTTAAA